GCGTTTCATCAATGAAACTCGGAAGTAGATAGCGACCTTTAGCGCTTAAATGTCGCTGTAAATTACGGGTCAATAACTGAGTACCGGATCTACGTTTCTTCCTTTCATCTATATTTTATTTGTGTTTTCGTGCGGAAACTGAAAATGAGTCGACACATCCACATACAAGCCTTACAATAATTTGAATGCGACCTAGTTTCTTCCATTACCTTGATTGTGAATCCTTTATGTTGTATATCACAATTCCGTTGGGCTCTGTATGCTACATTTAATCAATAGTATTTTATTAATATTGCTTTATATGTTCATATACTATCAAGTTTATTGTATAATAACTAATATTTAAGCGGAATAATATTATTATGCATTTATTATTTAGAAACAGAATATATCTCTATTTAAAAATTACATGTTTAAAAATCAAAATCTATTTTATCTAGAGAAATAATATAAATGTATTTTTTTTTCTGCACATAATATATTTATATTATTCTTAAATAAAATGGAACTATTGTATATTTTTACAAAAAAAATAACGAATTTGCTTTTATATATATATATAAACATGTGTATTGTGAAAGATTATCTTATCAAACATAGTATTTTAGTGAAGAATAGCTCATAGCATACAGAAATTTGTGTAAAAATGCTGATATCGAAAATATTAATCTTTTTAGTCCATTAAAGTCATGTAACTAGTCACGTAAAGAGTCTACGAGCCATAATTAGAGCCCATAATATTCACTTGTGCTATTTTTATTGTTATACATTACATATATTATTGATAGCATTGCTGATAATATACAGAAAACGTAGACAAATAGAATTTTCGTGTATTTTTACATATGTATTTAATTTACACGAATATTGATCCGAGCAATTTATTTCTATGATGTAATAAATTCTCGTGTTTATTTAGCGAGTAAATTTATTGATGTAGGTTTCTACATAAATGATATATGGGATTACCTAGGTTGATTTTTCTGCAAAATAATATATTTTGAATTTACCGAATTTCCATTTGATGATAAAATGATAACTCTGGAAATACACCGGCCTTCTAAAGTTCGATTTAGCGCGAAAATGACGCCAATTCTACTGAGGTAACGTTCATATATACCTAGGTGTGTCTGCACACAAATGAATCATCGGACTTTTCATTGTAATTTAATTTTTTTAATTAACGTATGTGTAGATGTTTGCATTAATATACCTACAATTGCGAAAGGACTTTAGCTATCCGTATTTAATCTGAATTCTTTAAATAAAATCATCATAGTAATCTCTTATATGATACATTTTTGTACATTTATTATAAAACTGATTTGGAGAATATGAATATTACAAGATTGCTTCAATATTTTAAACAAATATAATGTAGGTTTTCTTCTGTTATTTGCTGAATAACAAAATTTTATTTTTATATATTAATACGATTATCTTATATCTTTTTTTATTTAATTAAATCGAAATTAAAATATAAATTGAAATATTAACTAAAGACAGCGATAATTATATTGTAGCTTATTTAAAAAATATATAAGAATTTTTTTGTCACATATGGACTTTTCACACATGTCTTAATTTTTTCTGGAAGTATTATGGTATGTGCACATGTATATTTTTATTATATATTACTTTCACTAGGGAGATCACTATTAAAGTCACATATTTCAAATGCACTCGCTTTTTTCTAAAACTACTAACTTTTGTAAAAGTATAAAACTTATATCCCTTTGTCACATAAACGACTTTGTCATATTATTATACACATAAGCGTTTGAGGCTACGTAAATGGTGTGTAAAATTAAAGGGATAGCATTACATAATTGGCCATTTCCCGTACATGAACATATATACGCTTATTAAAACAAAAGGTTATCGAAGCAAAATTATTACATAATTTAGCGAAATATTGATTTGACATAAATATTTACAAACGAGAAAAGATAAAGCATGTTTCTAGACTCCCTAAAGTCTTTTCTTGAGAAATTTATTAATTTTTATTGCACTTGCTAAAATTTATTCTATAGAAAATATTTTAAATATTATTTGACCATGGATTATTTTGTATAAGAAAGACCGCAAAATTGTTACGCCATGACATAATCTAGTCAACGAGCAGACGACCGTTCCGGCAATAAACGATGACGAATGCACGCTACACATGAATGCATTCTTTCTAGGAAAATATTCAGCTACAATTATTATTATATTGCAAAATATATACTTTTATTACTTTATTGCTTTATAGACATTTTTTAAATCAGGATTATTATATTTCCTTATATACAGCCGTTAGTATTATATATGAGCCTTTCAAAGGTCAAACTAATTCTAACCATTTAGAATTTAGAGCATTAATCATGTGTTTTGATATTAAAATGAAGAAACCTAAAAAAGTGAAGTTGATCAATTTGACTTCTAAAAAATTCATATATATCTTTGTTTTTAATTAATAAATCTCAATATTAAATTACTTGCGATAAAATTATATTTGTAGTATTGCAAGAAGCAACTTTTGAATATTATTTAAGCGTATATATTATTAATATTATGATATTAGTTTGTAATCTATATATAATAATTTTTATGGTCACTAATTTAGTGAGTAGCAACGGAAAATCTTGACATATCGCGATATTAAAGTCTAATCCATTGAATTCTTTTTGTATCTTCTCATATCTCTTTAGATATAAAAAATGTAAGTTTTCCCAACGTGATAAGCAAGTAATATTTCGTTCTATGAAAGTATATTTTCAACCATGAAATTCTTTTCCAATCTGATTTTTTTACTGAAATTTGGACGGTTAATTTCAATTATATATGTAGATGTTTAATAATAAAAAAGTGGTTCATACACACACACACACATATTATAGTAATAAAATTTTCAGTATTAAAAATGTTCTTTTGTTCTTCAATAGATTGTTAAAGATATAATTTTATTCAGCACCTCAATATAATTTTAATTATAAAATTTCGCGCTAAAAAATCAGTTGTGGGTTAATAAAAGCAATATTTCCAATATTTGTGAAGCTATACAGTGACGGCAAAATTCCAATGAAAACAACATGATATGCAAATTTAAAATTAATTTGCAGCTAGATAGAAAGTGAAGAATCTCGATCGTTCGAGTACTCATTCGCTACTCGAATATAAAGGATATAATTGGTCTCTCGAAAATTTAATTGAAATTTTGACGCAAAATTTTAAATATTCTATTCAATGACGAGAACGCCCAGTCGTTTTCCGCGCGACCATCGGCTCGGGAATCCTTTTATTTATTTGTCACGAGGCGGACGTCGCTGCGCATGTGAAGCGTCCTGGCCTGCGCGGGCTGCATCGACCCTCAAACCCATTTCGTACTCTCGAACAGTACATATCTAGCCGGAACCTATCGTGCCGGGTAATCGGAAAATAAGTGAAACGATATCGTATCGGATCGGCACGTTGAGTTGACTGTTTGACAATTCGCCATTCAGAAGAAGAGAGAGGTAGAAAGAAAGATAGAGAGAGCCTATGTCTTGATAAGGCGAAAGAGGAACTGCGAACATCCGAGAGAATGCATTTTCGATTACGTTATCTGCTTTACCCGAGTATATGTGACACGGTTCTCTTTAAACGTGTTTTTTAAAAGTGTTACACACTCATAGAAGTAATTTAGAAATTGAAAAGTAATCTTTTCATGTCCGGGTTCGATCCAACGAGTGTGTATTTATGACATTCCGTGCGTGCACAGAAATTGACGTTGAAAATATGCCGGTTGTGTTCCTTAATCTTCTATTAGACATTAATTTAATATTTTTAAATGTTTTCTTTCCTTTATATATTCTTCTTTGTTTATCGACCAACGTTATTTTGCACATTAGAAGCTAAATACAATGTAACATCAAAATTAATTTAATGGGAATAAGAGTGAATTATCCGTATATTATTAGGTATAACTTATATTGTGTGTTATATCACATTGTGTTTAATATAATGTAATATAATTTAATATTCGCTGTATTATTCAAGTAACGGGTGATCCACGAGTAATCCATCATTTACGAGTTGCTATACAAGCCTTATAAATCCTTTCACTATGCTGTAGAGTTCACTACGCTCTGAGAAACGCTTTCATTATGTTGCAGCAACATTGAATTATGAATCTTTACTGTTCTAAAATTAATAGAAAATGTTGCTTATAATATATTCCATAGATTCTAATCTGAATCGTCTGAATTATTAAAACACATTTTGTTATAATTTCTAATGAATATAATCCATTAAAATGTTATTACTTATTAAAATAAAAATACATGTTTTGCATCTTAACTGTTTTTTGTAAAAGTGTAAATTCACTTAATGATGGAAGAATTCATACAATTAATTTAACGGTATTTTTTTAAACATTGTTTCAAAGAAATATATTTTTCTGAAAAAAATTTATTTACTTTCTCTCTTTCACTTAAGTCATTACCTTGTTTGTTTTATATTTGCATAAAAAATAGCTTTACAGTAACTTATGTTATTCCATTGCCATTATACATTTGAACCACGTGCGGCATATAGGTCAATAATTTGCCTGATAATGAGTTGAAATTTTTACGACGTAGCAATTCTGATGATACGACGCAAGTGTTCGTCGCAGTTCGCAAACAACATAACATTAAGATAATGCGAAAAGCCGATATTTTAAAATAAAAGTTCTCCCGAAAAAGTTTTCTTAGCTTTCAGCTACATTTTTCAAATATGTATACGACAGAGAAAAAAAACGTACGTAACACATCCTGAAAAATAATATACATTAAATATCACTACCTGTTAAATCTCTCAAAAGTTCCGGAAGTAAGATGTTTCGATAAATTTCCAAAATACAATGAAAATTCCTTATTTCCTATTTTTAATAAATACAATAGCTATTTTTATATAAAAATTTCAGAATATTTGTTAATGTAAACAAGATAAAATATAGTATGCAATAAAATATATTCTTTAACAAGTAACTCTATACAGATATGTAAAAAAGAAACGGTAGATATGAAAAAAAAGTTTGATTTTAAAATCATTAAGATGATTCTTGAAAAACGGTATTCCGACGGTATTCCGTTTGCTTCCGTTTTTTTTTTTTTGCTCCTTTACACCCACATACAATATATAATACATAGTCATAATAGCCGGCTCGGATTCACCTGCTCTTTCACTCGCTAATTCGTTCACACGCACTAATTGCTTCCTTCTTGATCTCGTATCGTGTCTGAGCTGGTTCGCGCGTTGCTTCACCGAGCGCGGCATTTATGTAAGGCAAGAATGCCGTTGCTTGTGAAAATATACTGTTAGTCATTATAATAAAATATTAAATTTCCTATAAAGATAATCTATGTGGATCGCGTCATACTTATTAGAATATATTGTGCTGAATAATTTTGCTAAACAATTTGTAACAAACTACAAATTGAAATCTTCGCATTTTGCAGTGTTTTTTTTTTTTTATTTAGCTTGTAAATTGATATGATCGGAGAATTTTGATAAATGAGATATAATTCAAAGAGATTTATAATTAATACATTAAAGTCTATAATTTTTTTTCCTTTTGCTTTGTTATTCTTTGCTTTTAAAGTATTTTGAAACGATTCGACGATTGTTAATTCACAAAGGACACTCTCCCTTCTTCTCTTTCTCTCTCAAAGTATATAAAGTTAATCGTAAAGAAATGAATGGTTTTATAGACGTGTATGTCAGCAATTATCGTATGTAGAATCGCGTGACAATGTCAAAATAAGAAGGGTATAAACGAGAACGCTTTCCGCGAATACTACAATCGCGATAGTGAAAACGAACAAAACGCCTCGATGGTTCTTCGCGGTTTGTTGGCCCCTGCGGCAGCTCGTTGGAGGAGAAATAAAACTGCGAAAAGGTAAAATAAACGCTTTGACTGATGGATAAATATGTATACATTTATGTATATAATTTTTCTTTTATCTCTACATTTATTAGATACGTAATTTTTAAACTGACAATGAGACTAAAATTCTGAAATTGAAATTAAATAAAAATAAAAAAGCGCCATTTGAATAACAAAGTTTAATTAATAACAGAAAGATTGATATTGAAATTTAAAGAATTACAGCACGAGTGATATCTTATTGAATTTTTATGTGGGATTTTTCGAGACATTAGCAGCAATCAGCAGATCGTTTACGGGCGTAAAATCAATATAATTAATTATTTCATGTAATCGTCTTACGGTTAAAATTGAATTTCTCCATTTTAATTAATGGCTTTCGATCGAATATACACGGTTCGTAGAATCGCGCGATTCCGAGCGCAAAGAGGTACTCGAGCATATATAACCGCTTAAATAGATCACCGCGGTAGATCTGCTGAAGCGTTAATCATATTGCGTTAATTGGTATCCGCGTTAATTTAACCGCAACCCGTTTCATTTCAGAAGTCAGAACGTCGTTCGGGACAGCATAAACGCGTCGGTCGGCCAATTAGGACTGTCACGTTATGGACCGCAGGTGATGAGCGTGCTGTGTTTATGCACCTCCAGCATCCACCAGTCTACCCGTAACGTCACGCACACCGGCAAGATACTCCCGAGTCCGCCGTTAGACACCCTTTGCGAGCAGCAAATAACGCCCTCGCAAGAAATACCCACTGACGAGCTGGCTCTATTAGCTAAGCTGGAGGAAGCCAATAGGTGAATAATCAAGTGACCCCCATGGTTTTATCAGTTGACGTTACCGCTATATTCTCGAACTTTCAAGAATCGAACAACGCATGAACTGATAGATTGATACGCCAAATTGGCCTAACGAATTTAGAACGCAAAATTCTCACATTTTCCACTTTTCAAGATCTGTGGTAAAGTTGGAGGAACGTCTCGTGTGCATGCAAATTTGGATAAATTGTTTGGATTTCTTTTTATTTCAAGCTTAGAGTAGAAATGCTAAATGTTAATTTTACTACACATTTTGGCTTGGAAATGATGCAAAATACGGCTGCATTTTTAATTCAATCTCGAAAAATTTGGGAAAAAGCGTAAGTTCTGGCTTTTCTCTACATCCCTCGTATAACATATCAAGCTAATTTATCATAGAAATACATTAATAAATTTACCTATGCATATATTTTTTGAAAGAAAAAAGATTTTATTTACAAGAATTATTACATCCTCAAAGAATGTACTATAAAAAATAGAGATGTGCCTGTATAATTTTACGTTAGAAATATCGATGGTCAAAGGTAGTCTTTAAAAAATCTAGTTGTGTCTAATATGATTTACATACAAAACAATAAATCGTGAATACAATATTGATTTGTGTAAAAAATAAATCAATATATCTATGCATTATTGTGTAGTGTAGACATCGCAAACAGATTTTATAATTCAAAATTTTTTAAATTCCAGACTGATCGAATCCGATGCAAAATCACTGAACTCTCTTCAAAGTAATCATAGCAGAAAAGGCTCCGATACATCACAGGTGTCTGTGGCGTCGGGGGGCAGCGGAGGTAACGGCGATGCTGCGCCCCGACGCCACAACCCGGCCGACGGTGAAGAAAATACGTGGACTCTCTGGGGTCACATAGTATCTGATTGGGATTATCATTGGAAGAAACGGAAAGAATTTGTTAAGGAATTGGTTCGTCAAGGCATACCTCACCATTTCAGGTAATGCACACACACATTATTTTCAAAAATATATTATTAAAGATCTTTTATCAGTATCATTTTTAGATTTCAGAAAATTAATTACTATATGTATACACACATTTTATACATCCAACAACAATGATTATATGTTTTAGACACAATACGCGCGCGATTTATATAAATTATATATCATTTTTAGGGGCATTGTTTGGCAATTATTAAGTGGTGCCCATGACTCTCCCATTAAGAAACAATTTGCTGAGTACATTAAAGCAACATCAGCCTGTGAGAGGATAATTAGAAGGGATATCGCTAGGACGTATCCTGAACATGACTTTTTTAAAGAAAAAGATGGTCTTGGTCAGGAAAGTCTGTTTAATGTTATGAAAGCGTACAGTCTTCACGATCGTGAAGTAGGATACTGCCAAGGCTCAGGGTTTATAGTAGGATTACTTTTAATGCAGGTAAACTACTCTAACAGCATCCTCAACAAATTTTGAACCGAAAAGTTTTATACAAAAACAAATTATTTATAGAAATTCATGAAAATTCATAGTCTCAATATAACACATAATTTAAATCTGTTATAAGTATACATTTTTATTAATCCTTTATATTCCACATGGAAAGAAACAAAGCAAAAAACAGAGAAGCCAATCTGTTTTTATATATTTTTCTTGACATAAATTTTGTATATTGTTACAGCAAATGCCGGAAGAAGAAGCTTTTGCTGTACTAGTAGCGCTTATGCAAGAATATCGCTTACGGGACATGTTCAAACCAAGTATGGCTGAATTAGGGGTATGCATGTATCAATTGGAACATTTAGTTGCTGACACGCATCCCGAACTTCACGCTCACTTCACGGCCCAAGGTTTCCATACGTCGATGTATGCGTCCTCTTGGTTTCTTACATTATTCACCACAGCGCTAAGTCTTCCTCTAGCATGTCGCATTTTTGACGTCTTTCTATCAGAGGGCATGGAAATTATCTTCAAAGTCGCGTTAGCGATGTTACATTTAGGCAAAGAAGATTTGCTCAGTTTAGATATGGAAGGCATGTTAAAGGTAAGATTTTATCTGAAAATCTACACAGAGTTTCTTAAATTGTTAGATTAGGTTATTGTCAATACTATAAGAAACTTTAATTTGTAGTATAGTTTTATGTTCTTAAATAAGTACACAAAAATGAGCAGTGTATAGATCTTTTGTCTATTTAATAAGTCGCAAAAAAAACTATAATTTTGTCTTTTTATGCAGTTTTTCCAGAAGCAATTGCCTGGGAAGGCCGAAAAAGATCCTGATGGTCTCATGACACTCGCTTATGGAATGAAAATCAATCCGAAAAGAATGAAGAAATTGGAAAAGGACTACACTATCCTAAAGATGAAGGAACAGGAAGAAATGGTCGAACTACGCAGACTTAGAGCGGATAACAGATTGCTTAGACAAAGAACTGAACTTCTAGAAGCAGAGTCCGCGGAATTGGCAGATAGATTAGTTAGAGGTCAAGTTTCACGAGCGGAAGAAGAAGAGACTGCTTTTATAGCGCAGAGAGAATTGGCGGCGCTTCGATATTCGCATCTTGAGACGAGTCACCAACTCGAACAAGCTCATGAGGAATTGAGATCGCTTTCGATTCTTCTCGAGGAGAACATGACGTCTAGACAGTCGTCGCTCGATGAGATATTAGTGAAGCAAGAAGCATTATCGCAGAAAGAAGAAATGATACAGTGTTTGCAAGAGGAATTGGTTAGAGTTAGATTACACGAGGCAGAAAACGATGCACTGATTAGGGAACTCAGAGGAAGAATACAAGAATTGGAACAAGATAAAAAGACTTTGCGTGAATCGACACCGGACAACTCAGTTGCTCATTTGCAAGAGGAACTCATTGCGGTTAAGCTTAGAGAGGCGGAAGCTAATTTATCCTTAAAGGTAAGAGATTTGCCATTTCTGTATATAATTCTTATATTGACATTCCTTATAAATATATGCTAATATTAGAACAATTATGCATTATGTAGGATTTACGACAAAGGGTCATGGAATTAAGTGCAGCTTGGCAGAGGCATCTACAAGAACATCGGTCTGCTCAATCAGCACCTGCCGCTGATTCTACGCCAAAGAAGCTACTGTTTTGGGAAAATCGGGGTCACGAAGTACAGAAGTTTGAGGAAGACTTAATGACGACCAGGATTCGAGAGATGGAGGCGTTAACCGAAGTTAAGGAGCTTCGACTTAAAGTTATGGAACTTGAAACTCAGGTGCAGGTGGCAACCAATCAGCTTCGTAGACAAGATGAAGGTGGGAAAGTACTTAAGGATGATTTGGAGACTGCGTTAGCTCGAGAAAAGGATCTGGCTGCCAAGCTGAGGGAACAACAGCACAAATATTCCGATCTGGAATCGAAAATGAAGGACGAGGCTATGATGGCCAGAATACGCGATGCCGAACATGCGCAGCAAGTGGCGGAACTTATGCAGAAAATATCTCTTCTCGAATTGAAGGTTAGTTAATATAACTTTTATAAAGATTATCAAATATTTATGTTATAGCGCTAAAAAATAAATAAAATATTTGATATATTTATAGAACGAGGAAATGCATGCAGAGGGCGAACTTAGAAATAATTTAGATGACAGTGAAAAAGTAAGAGAACTTCAGGACAAAGTCGCTGAATTAAAGGCTGAGGTACGTGGAATTTAAAAGAATTTTCATCTTTTTATATTGTATTAACAAAAGCAGTATCTCGGAATATTGCAGTAAGGGGTGGAGAATTATCTTACTTATAACACATATTTATTTCCTTCATATAATGTATGTCAGACAACTATAAGTTTTCTCTTTTAATCTATGTAAATATAACAATATACAAATCACATAAACAGAGTAGCACACGATATATATATGTAATATCTTATTATATACATTTTAAATATTTTTATTATATTTAATAAAATATGTTTGTGCAAATAATTAATGAAAAATGATGAACGTATTACGATATGTATATTTTTTATTTCTTGAAATAAGTATTACGTGCACATACACAAAAGTTGTATATTATTGTATGTGTAAATGTTTCTATTACAAGCAAAGAAAAAGAAACAATAATTTGAAATAATGTGATTTATAAATTTACTATAGTTTCATAATTATGTGATCATAATTGCAATTTTTAACAATTGGAACTTTTCAAATATTCTGTGGAAAAAATCTATTTTATAAGATAAAGATAAAATACTTCCACTGTTTTTTTTAAATTTTTTTATTAAAGCATTACTTTGTTATGTGTTTGTTCTTTTGATTTTTCAAATATATATGACATTGTGTTTTATCATATAATTCAAATATTAAGACATTATGGAATTGATGATCATTTGATTTGATTATCATTCCTTTGTTTGCTATGTTATCTCAATAAGCCAAATATTATATATTTACATCTCGTTTAAGTGTAATATATATGTTATTTAAGATTATATATATAATTATACTATATATTCCTAACAAATGTTTTATACATAAAACTGAACCTTTTTGAGTTTTTATGTGCTACCTCATACTGCACTCTTATAAATTTATTTATTATAAATTCATGCCTATTGTACACAAAAGACATTCCATTTTGCTAAGATTGTAAATGTAATACTGTAACTCGTTTCTTCATTGATGTGTTATACACTTATAAGACAATAATGCACAAACTGCACCTCTTACTGCAATCTAACGCTAACCAACACGCTTCATAACATCGTCGCTTCTGGTGGATTGCAGAAACAAAACTTTTTGTGACTAAAATTTGTTTTACCGCTGAATACTGAGAATTATTTCATTTTTTCAATAACTCATTATATTTTATTGATTTACACAAAATATATACTCTTGTTTACAATTATTGCTGTATAAAATAATATTTGTAAATATCTGTAAAGATAAAAGACATAGTTGTCATTCGTAACATAACTTTGAAGAAATGGAAAATATGTAAAAAGATGTTCAAACAGATTTTTTTTTAATTTAGCAGTAATAATTATTAACAATAACAAATACGAAAAAAATACGTGATGATTAAACGATTAATTATTTAATTTACTTAATTATATAATTTATCCCCCAAAAAATTGCAATTAATTTAGTCACACAATATATATATCAAGATAATTAGAAGAAATTATAAGGAAAATATTTCTTCTCAGTATTTATTATATACGCCACTGATAATAACAATGCTTAATTAGTTGGGAGAATATGGCTTTGTTTCTTCGTGGACATAAAACATATGGCTTTATACATCGCAATAATTTACCATTGTATAAGTACCTATACATATTAAGAATTCACATTCATTTAGAGATGATTCATTATTTTACATGATCGAAGATAAAGTCGATTACTATTTGTATTCGTGCTTGATATATTGCAGCTTTTCATATCTGCACTGCTCTTTGACGTATGCTTTTGAAAACCGAAATTTTTAATTACTCAACAGTTCAGAGAAATATATCATCTTTTTATATTTATATATTTTTTCTTCAATGTTTGATTCATCCAAGATATGAGGTAAATTAAAATTATCTGTAAAACTGATTTAATTTCATTAAATATACATTAACTAATGTCGGATTAGCAAATGAGAGTTAGCACAGCATGAGGATTAATTAATTATTATCAATTTTACAGAAATAAAACATTATTGAAAATTGTAAACGAATTAAAAAATGTTCAACTATACATATCCTTCACAAATTATTAATAGCACATTTCATTCAAATTAATATTAAATATTTATATAAAGGTTTTAATTTATTAAAATGATAAAATTGTAATTTTACTACGGCGATAGATAAATTTGAGTCATGCTGTTGCCTAACATTTCTTTATAACATTGATATAAAATGCCGCATTAAATATATCTTTTGCAATACGAGAAATTAAGCGATAATCAAACGTTATATAAGAGCAGATATTAGATGTCGATTTATTGAATTATACGTTCAACATTATTCCGAGTTATGTAACTTATTCTAGAAAAATCAAACAGAATATGTTTAATTTGTATTTTGTTTCCTTTCGCAAAAGAAATTATGACTCCTTGACAAATCAACTAAAATATCTTATTAATGCGACAAAAGTAAATTGACGCCTTATCGAGTTTAAATACAAATTTAAATTTAGCGAGCTAATGAGAGCCAGACACGAATGGTAGTATTGTTATTGCATTTAATTTCTGACGCGTACGTATGTGTACAGGTACGCGTAATTTTGTAACCAGAATACGCATGATGTTGCTGAATGAGAGAGATAATAGGCACAGTAATGATTCTTATTGTGTAAAGGTACCGAACGATGACTAGTGCTAACCAGAAGGGACTAATTGTTGTTGCAAAATTAACCCTCTATTGCTGTGTTATCTCTGTCTCTCCTCAGTTCCCCACGCCAATCACCAGCCCGGAGACTGAGCCTTGGCGCTGGCTCGAGTAAGTCTTTACCCACGTGTAAGCATCATTTTCTACCGTCTCCGTGTGTATGTGTACGCGTGGCATGATATTTCTTTTTTTTTTTTGGTTCTTTTTTCTTTTTTATTGTAAAAGAATTTATCATTGTAGCTGGTTCTCTATTTATTGCGTTATATGTTTTCCTTCATAATCTGGATTCGGAATTCTTACTTTTATTAATAGCCACCGGCAACATGTACATTTACATAGCAGATAAACAGATTTATATTAGCTATTCATAATTATATGAGAGCCATTATAAATGTGCATTATAAATGTATGTGGTATTAAATGTAATCAGCTTAAAGTATCCAATTAAGTTCGATCGAGGAACCAGAATTGTTTTACGAAAAATATTGGATTGAATTTTAAATGATTTAACTTGATATATGATCTCTTATAAATCTTCCAATAATATTGTCACGTGAAACGCCACAAGTAGCACCTTCGGATGAGTCTGGTTTAAATAAAACGTGGCTCGCTTTCTGTATTATACGCGTGGTGATGCGTGAGCATGGCTGTTCTTCCCGTTTAATTGCATGCTTCCTTAAGATTAAGTTCACTGTTTCGTTCTGATAAACATTCACGGCTGTTGCTTTTAGCTCGAAGAAGAAAAAAAAAACATAAATGTAAAAGAAGCGTGAGAGTAGCCGCGAAAGTATCATAAATATTCACTAAATCGGTGTGAGATCGAATTTTGTGAGTTTTTTCTTTCTTTGTTACATTATTCATATTTGCATATCATTTCATCTAGTTGATGTATTGATACATATTCAATGCAACAAAAAGATTTGCGATCTTAAATGTCCCTTAAGTTATGATTTTTAAAACTTTATGTAAGAGGAAGATTTCTAATTTAATAATATTTATTTAACTTTATATATTACATCAAGATATAAATTCATAAGATAAATAACGAAAATAAATATACATTAATAATAAACTATTTTCAGAATCGAAATAGATATAATTAAAGTCGACGTTATTTCAAAAATTTTAGATTTGACGATTCACTTTTTTATCTTAAAATTTTAATTTTTTTATTTAAATAGGATTTGAATGGATACTTTGTAAAGGGAGATATAAAGCGCTCTCTCTTTTTCTTTCTCCCTTTTTCTGGAGAATTACTTGGAAGTACGTCTCACGTCACGTTTTATCTGTCACAGGTCATGAGGCTAGAGAGCTGGAAACAACGATGGACGGGTCTCGGCGGGCAAACTGTGCGAAGTTTCAGCGTCGATACTGAAAGTGAATTGGATGAGCGGGATCTCAGAATTTGCTTACAGGATCATATCAATACGACCACGCCAAACTCACCCGAGGTATAGAATTCTATGTATACCAGACCATTAGTAGGCAGCTAACTAATACTCCGTTATCGATGCGTACGAATCTTTTGTTCGTTCGGCTTTCGCTATAGGAATTAACGCATATGCGCTTAGATTGTAATATACGGGGGAGTAGACCCGTAATAATCCTGTTTAGGTACGTGTATTACTACTAGGCCAAATATAACAAATATGCATAGCCAATTAATTAATTATACTATAACGATAATGAACGAAACAATGAAATAATAATGATAGACACTGTCGGTAATCGACCCAAGTAATCTCGATCGTAATCAGGAACAATGGTTTTAAAGAAATCAAATTGTAATTTATAATTCGATATTTGGAGATTTCTTTAAAGCTACATCTTCTCAGAGCGATCATCCCAGAAAATGAGAATCTGTTTTAATGCTTTATGTGTGCAGCACTATAGCCGAATATTGTTTATTACTACAGCAATATATTAATATTATGATACTTTAAACATTATATTACATGGAGTATTATAGAGCATACGGAGACATAGTTTTAACAGCACACAAAGTATTATATAGAATATAATAATTGTGTTTATTATTTAGTAAATGATCAGTGGTTACATAACAGTAATTTTCGATCGAGACTGATACATGATAATCTCGAAAGAATCTAAAATCTACAGATTTGAATTTGTTCTTTCTGTGAAATTTGTTGCAAGCAAACTTTGTATGATCATCTTGCAATGTCTGAACCTCCGCCCCCAGATATACGCAGTTTAATTATTTATTCTACATTCTATATAAAAAGAGATCGATATTACACCCTAGTTGATAAGATTAATTCCAATAATTAATCATTTCGTATATAAACTTCGTATATTTATCCATTAATAAGTATAAGATTCTTAATGTATGATATGTTATAATATTCCCAGATGTGTGAAAAGTTCTTGTCTCTCTTATTTAAGAGTTCGAACTGTTTAATAATTGCTCGAAGCTTGATTACGATCCGCAGATTATACGAAGATTATCATAGACTATTTCGTGACACACGCAACTGTTTTTATACGCATGATATACTCTGTGTATTTTTTGTAATTCATACCAAATGTAATCGCATTTAAGAAGTTGTATATTAAACGTGACAAACGTGGTGAGATGGGAATGTATTACCGTTTTTTATAAATATATGTATTTATATATGTGTGTCACGAGGGATCATCGCGCAATATACAAATCATGATATTCATGCAACATACAGCGTGGGTTATCCTAATTGAAAAATTTGGCTATCTAAAGTTTATGATACTCTCGAATAGAAGAGTAAATCGAATTCTTATTATTGTTGTCCCATATATGTATATCATTTGTAATATATTTAATGAACTTAAAAAAAAAGAGATAAAAAAATATTAATTTTTACGGATAATATGCAATATGCGCACAGCACAAAACGTGTACTTTAATTACTTAAATATGAACTTTCGAGAGGGATTGTAAGGTCGTAATGAATCGACCATAATGTCTCGGGGAAGAAAAGCTAAAGTTCTTTCTTTCAATTAATTTATAACAATTGTAGATTGTCGAAATTGAAACCGAACGAGATAATCGGAAATGCTTGTAAAAAATTAGTATCCGCACAGTTCACGTTCCTTACAATGGCTTCCTAGGATAATTACTTTCAATATAAGCACTCGCGTAAACACCTTGCTACTTTCTTTTATAACGAGTCATTTCAGCCTACTTGCAACGCATCTTTTCTTGCTTGGCCTAAATCGTTCTATTCTTTTTACCGCGCTAACATACACACACACACAATTGGCATCGATTAATGTTTTAAGCGTTGTAAATCTGTGTGTAAATGAATCACATGAGTCACTTTTGACGGAAGATGCTTGTAAAAAATTAGTATCCGCACAGTTCACGTTCCTTACAATGGCTTCCTAGGATAATTACTTTCAATATAAGCACTCGCGTAAACACCTTGCTACTTTCTTTTATAACGAGTCATTTCAGCCTACTTGCAACGCATCTTTTCTTGCTTGGCCTAAATCGTTCTATTCTTTTTACCGCGCTAACACACACACACACAATTGGCATCGATTAATGTTTCAAGCGTTGTAAATCTGTGTGTAAATGAATCACATGAGTCACTTTTGACGGAAGCCCTCTTCGTTTTCACGCATGCATGTGTGCAAATTAGCATGAGTGTATCTCGTAACGAAATAACGATGATACACAAGCAAAATGATATTTTGTGATATTTTTCGATTACTGTGCTTTATAGCGAATTTTGCATAGCATTAAAAATTGAATAAATTAATTAATTCGTTTTTGTCGCGCGAAACGTACACACATTAAATGAAGTACCAAAATTGATATAAATTAAGGTTTAAACGAAAATTGTAGAAAACACGAGTAATTGATTGTTATAGTGTCGAGTAATGTATTTATTGTAAGTAGCACGACAAGGAATAAATTTGCAAGACCGAAGAGAAAGTGACGTTTGTATTTGCGTTCTGAATTTAGTAGAAATATTTACGGCGTTTTAGATTCTGTTGCGCATTATAAATTATGCTATTTAAAAAAAATCGTGTCGTTAGAATCAATTTAATCATCACAGATTCTTAGCATTGTAGATGTGTGAAACACGTTGTAGTATCGTATAACACACACATATCTGTAATCTATCTTTCTCTCTTCTGCGTCATTGAATCTGTATGTATAGACTGTCCTAGACCTATCGAGGGTGTGTTATCGTTCAGCTTCAAATATACCGGGAACCAAACTAATTGAAATGGTGATTCAATATTATACTATTTAATATAGTTATGAAATTGTCTTATTGTTAGAACGACAAACTGAGAAGTATACGTTTAATCAAATTAAATTTCAAAAGCGATGAGATTATTGTTCTTCAATCGATTTGAAATAAATCAAATTTTAGTCGCGGCAAATGATAGATTTCAATCTAAGTTTCTTATTCGCTTAAGAAAAAGTCGATATAAAATTAATTGAAGAGTTACACTTTAATAAATACAGCTCGCTAGGTCGAGAACCATCTATACGATACGAATTCATTCCATTAAATTGAATTATTGATCGTCTACACGATAAAAGCGAAATAATAAATAAATCAGCGACTATGATTGCATCCAACGATATCAATTACGGTATAAATTAAGTTGCATAAACCACGTTGTTTGCGAAGATAAACTATTATCAATCATCATGCATTTTTGTATTGAAATCCACAAAACGTTCCTTAAAATTTATTTTTGATTAAATTCGATATGCGTGCATTTATTGTGCAATTTCGAAATTTTAATAAAGATAACTGACGTTAATTGAAAATAAATAACGTTAATTCTTTTATTGTAAGATTATCTATTTGACAAAGCTTTATCATTCCACCTCACTCTCGTAAAGCATGTCCAAGATCCAAACAATTTATATACAATTAATACAATAATTTCGTACGTCTTTCTAATAATAACGACACTCGGTTCTTATTATCATTATCGTCGTATTCGAAGAACGCGAAGTGTAGCAGGAGTTACAATGCGTCGCGCCGTGCCATTAATAATTTAGCGCACGTTTTCCTGCGGAAACCAACACGTTCGATCGTACGTCGGCTACCGTAGGCCAAGATGTAGCATGCGTTCGTTCTTATTGCGACGATAGAAGGTCATCCGCGCACGAGAGACGATTTAACTCTCCTCGACCTGTAACGGACAGCGTTACGTCTCTCGGACGATTAATCTGTTCTCGAATCGATTTGTTATTCCACCGGCATTCCGTATTTTTTAGCGCCATCGAAATAGACGGTATTTATAATGAACTTTTTGCGTCGCAATTGACGGTGCAACGTATGTATGTACGTACGTGCGTGCATACATGCGGGCTCTAATAGACGAAATAATCCGTATCGATGCGTTATTGCGTGACAATGTATGAAAGCCGCTACTAAACACGCATATTGAACTCATATGTGTCCCGTGTTGAAACGATATACTATATACATATATATATATAAACAGATACGATCTCTCTTCAATAACGACATAATACTTGGCGTAATCTGGAGGGAAGTAGCGCGTGCGAATGATACATACATATTTTCCGAATAAATCGTAGATCCGATAGATTTGAATTGTCAGAGAAATCGATAAATTTTGAATTGAACGAGAAAAACGATATTTAATTTTTTTAATTCACGCGGAGAACTGACACTTAGAAACGCTTCTGACAATAATCATCCTGATTTGTTCACACGTTGATGGATACATTTGAACATGCGTGATTGTTAGTGCAATTTTCTTTTTATCGTTAATAATAATGTGAATTTTTTTTCATTACAAAGTTGCGATACAAAATTCAATTTAGTAGAGATGATTTTAAACACGAAAGAGAGAGATCGAATTTGCCAATATTTTACTTTTTATTATCATGCTCTATAAAACACGGTATTTACATTATATATTTTCAACACGCAAGTGGAAATTGCGCATCTCAAAAATCTGAACGATAACTACAGATCTATCTTTCGTATATATACTTGGCATTTTATCAATAATGTGAAAATATGTATCGCGCGTGTAAGCATGAATTGTCATTAATTGAGACACACGAAAATATTTTTGAAAAATTTATTCCACTTTTTATATCATGTATATATAATCGAATCTCTTCACTTTAGTTTTAAAATTCACAAATATCAGGAGAATATAATTCGATATATATAAGAAATAAATCAATCTGAAATAAATCGCGAGTTTAAATTCAGAAACTAACTTTAGATTAAGAAGAACGTGATAATAAAACTTTAAGAGTAATGAATCTTTTTGCAATATATAGATTTTATTAATGCAATGTGCTCGTAAACATTTTTCAATTTTAATATTATAGATAAATATTCCAATATTTCTGTATTGAAGAAATCGTCGAAAATATTTAAATTACATTGTTACACGCATTCGAAAACACAATATTTCAACAGTGCCGGGTTGAAATAGGTTAAACGTTTACTCAACGTAAAAGGACGCATAGAGTGTAGAGTTCGAAAAAAACTCTTGGACAGTGAATAATGCACAAACGCATCGTAAGATTTTACACATGGGTGAGTTTTCTGATAACACGTTTCACTCACAGATCGATATCGTTTCTTTTCGCGCCACCGACACTACCGGTAAAGAGGGAAAAAGAGAAGCAGAGGGTGCACCCTTAAGCCCCATTTTAGACGAATCGATTTTCAAGTATTGTCATGCGAGGAGAACCGTTCGTATGCAACTCGTAACGTTTTAATTTCACGTACGACATCGGGACTACAGATTTTTCATATCGCTTTCCATTTTATAAGTACAGTATAAAATATCAATCATTCTAATTTTTTGGGTATTCTTACAGTCACTTTACATATGTATATGAATCTAACGGATATTGAATAATTTATGTATTTTAATATATTTTCCAAAAAAAAAAAAAAAAAAAAAAGAAAATGGCATAAACGAATTTGTTAACAATATAAAATTACCGTAAATCGGAGTTGCACCTCGTCATAACGTTAGTGATTTTGTGACGCGGCATTTCTTTGTCTTATTTTCTTAGTTTACATAAACGTATCGTGTGTATTTTTACTTATTACTTCCAAGTATTGATAAGATATGGATCGTATTATGCCGATGAGTTATGTGATTAGGCAAACAAATCCTATCTCAGGAAGCCACCCATGCTGCTAGAAAAAAAGAACTTCAGTTTACAGTACATTTCTTGTTTAAAATTCCTTTTTAAATTACAATATAGTTTCTATAAATCATATTTTTATGCTACAATAAATAAATTGTTAAATATATATATATATATTACTCTATTTTATATTGTTATTTTTAAAATATGATATTTTACTGAAATAAGCATGTAATATATATTTTTTACTTGGTAATATTCGGTTATTTTCTTTTCTTAATGATACGAAAATTAATTCATCTCTCAGTTGAAACTTACTATACTAATATGAGTGATATCAAACACAAACAGTAACGTAACATCAATGTTATAATTTTCCACTCAATAATATAACTGTTACGTACAAGCCATGTTACATTATTGTTGAGTGGAAAATTATAACATTAATGTTATGTTATTGTTACTTTGTGTTTGTTGCGTGGTACCTAAAATAACATTATCTTTTTAACAGCGTATATCGCCGCTCGATTTTATCTCAATTTTTATTATTCGAGAAAATTTATTTTTCTTTTCACACAATAATATTTTGCATTTGGTCATAACAATAGCCGATTGTATGCGATTCGCGATCTCGTCTCCCAAACTGATTAATTATCTGACGTCACAATTACCCTGAATCGATACTCGTATCGATCGTTTGTCATCCGTGACGAACGCGATCGCCGCATCTAAAACATTACGAATATATCAAATTGAAAATATCTCATATCTGAATTACATACATGTACTCCTTCATCATTCATTAATGCGATAAAAAAAGATAATAACTCTGTATCAAATATCTTTTTTTTCTCAAGTTTGAGATTATTAATCGAAAATTTTTCATCATTGCAATATTCAACGTCTTCGAATTCATGACGTTTCGAAAAAAGAAATCTATATTTCACGTATTTGTGCAAATTATATTCGTTAATTTTCAGCGCTTGAAAACAAGAAACACGTATATTTGGAATTTCCCCTATGAAAGCTCTACGTTTGGTGCATTAATTAAATCAGTTTAATACAATTTGGTGCATTAATTAAATCCCCCTAGATTGCTAAAATATCACTGTGCGATGCCTCAAGACCGCATAGGGTTTAAACATCCCATCGAAAGGGTGTCGTGCCTATCGATCGCGTGCACGTCCACCGTCACCCGGTCTATCGATAATTTTCGAGGTAAAGTAGCGCACGAGGGTGTAATATTCCAATCTAGGCTTATCGATCCCTAGACGATATTTCAGTTAGAGAAAAAAAGAAGACAGAGAGAGGAAGAGAGACAAAAAAAAAAGAGACAAAAGACAAGATGAGAGCATCGGGCTGAGTTTGCAATTCATGTGGACGGCGCAAGTTGCAGCAAGTAGTTTTCCAAACAGAATGCATCGGCTGGAGAGAATGGAAAAAAAGTAATCCCTGAAAAGGGGTTCGTTGTTGCACCGCTCTCTCGGCACAGCGTTGCCATTTCGCCGTGCGCGCAACGCGCTGCACTTAACTGCACTGCGCTGCACTGCGCGGCGCAGCATCCAGCAGGATCGCTACGCGCATGCGTCGCGACATCGGCCGCCCGGGACGTGCGAGCGATGGGCCCGATCCGATTTTCGACTCTCCGGATGCATTCAAGAGCGATTCTCCAAATGCGAACGATGGATCTAGGATTGTGACTAGATCAGCGCGCCGACAGTGTCTAGGTTAACCCTTAAATCTTCAAATATATATGTATGTACGTAGTGTACGTAAAAGAGAAATTCCGATATTCCCCCAGCAAGTAAACGAAATTTTATTCTTTGTCAGACGAAGTTGCAAAGATATATCCTTGTAGTCAGGTTTTTGTTTTAATTTTTTATTTTTTAATGTCAATGTTAAATTGAAAAGCAATGCAATGAGAGATTATATATGTTTTTTTTTATATAGTAAATTGTGATACGTGTATGTGATAATTATTGTATATTGTATGATAAAACTAATTGACAGAGTTCGTGTTTTAAAAGTTATTAACTTGATCGAACGTATACAATTTTCCAAGAGTTTTACGATATTGTTTCGAAGAGAAATTACACTAGTTTGAAAATTTATATAAGTAAAAAAAGATACACAACCCAGGTAGCAAATGCACGTCATTCGACGTCAAAATAATGTTATTTGACGTCCAAATCACGTCAAAATCACGTGCGCTTGCTAGCTGGAAACTCTCCATTTTCTCATTTCAGACGGTAAAAATTTCACGCCCTTAGGGAGGAAAATATTATTACAATTAAGGGAGAGAATTTCGAAACCGCATATTGATAAAAAACAGTCGTTCCAACGACGATTCATTTGATGAGATAGTAAATTTTTATTGCTTGAAACAGTTCTGTCGAACGATAGCACATTATCACAATGATCTTATATGCGTAATAAAAAAGTAATAAAAATAGACCTTCGGGAAGGAATTAATGGAAGGAAAATATTTTGCACAAATAAATTGTCCATAAATTTAAAATAAATAAAGATCTCTTTTACACTGAATATCAATAAAATAAGATCCATTTTTACTTTCTCATCTTTCTACTTTGTATTTTTTTTCATTATTTTCTTTCTTTTTTATAGTATTTCACGATGAAGAATAAAGACGACGCAACGTTTATCATATTCAGAGATGTCTCCCAAAGATATTATAAAATGAAGTTATAAAGAGATATCAATGTCAAGAATTGATCTTATTCATCGCTTATTCATACACTTGCATTAGAGTAAAAATAATCGAGAAATGCGATGCTGTAAATTCATTAATTCTTGTTTGCAAGGTTATAAATGGAAACAACGTCTTTTTTTTGTCGAAAACATCCCTTCCTCTCGAAATATTCCGGGAAGGGAGCATCTTTCAGAAACAGCCTTGCGCATCGTCCTTCCCAGGCGGCAGGTATCGATAACCCTTTTCGCCTTGCTCGAAGCCATCGCTAGCCACGGCAGCAACGTTGCCGATTTTCCTGGTGATCTCCTGTTACGGGGAAAGGGGAGACAAGCGTGCGCGCGCGCGCGCGCGCGCGTGTGCTCTCGTATAAACGCGTACAGGCAGGGGTGGTCGACCAATTAAATATGGCGACCACGGCGCGGGGTGTGGCGCTTGCGCATGCGCGCGGCCGTCATGCGCGGTGAAGGGAAGCGCGACGATCGGCAAAGGGTCGTTAGGGAAGGGGAAGACGGGAATCGCGAGCGGACCAAGCGACATCGAGAAGGAACCGGCCGGCGAGCAGAAAGAAGCGACGAGTGCTTGGCGTACGGTTTGTGTGGTGCGCGCTACCGACAGACAGACTCCACAAAGTGTACGCGATCGAGAGGCGAGGCTTCTTAGGGAAAAGAGAACGAGCGACATTGCGCAGGAGTGACTTTGCGAGTAGCTTCGAACGAGGCAAAAAGAGGAAAAGAAAGAAGAGGAGAAATAGACGCAGCAGCAAGAATGACGATGGCAACCGAGACGGAGAACAACGGCCCCGAGAGTAAGGAGATCAAGGACGTGAAGGAGATGAAGGAGGCGTTGAAGGACGACGCGCCGCCGGATAACAAGCAGGAGGAGAAGGACGCGACGAAGAAGGACGAGACGGCCGGCAAGAAGGACGATGACGCCGCTGCCGCCGCCGCGGCCGCTGCCGGCGGTGCGACCGCGGCGCCGGCGAAGGCCAACATCGTGCATCACCCCGATTACGAAAAAGATGTTGTTTATCTATATCAGTTCCCGCGGACGCCGCTGCTACCCTCCTTATCCCCGTACGGTCTCAAGGTGGAGACGTGGTTGCGATTGAACGGCGTCAAATACGAGGTAAGTGTCGCGAGTATCTTTTTTTTTTCTTTCTTTCTTTTTCTTTCTTTTTCTTTCTTTTTCTCTCCTGGTGGGCCAAATCAGTCCCTTCGCTTTTCTTTCGTGCGTGTTCGTGCGTGTATAGTGCCCGCCTGCCGGTCTGCCGGCCCGGCGAGGGAGAATCGATTTTCTTTATCCTGCTTGTCGAGCGCCAGAGTCTCCGGCCGTCTTTCCCTCTCTCTCTCTCTCTCTCTCTCTCTCTTTCTCTTTTTTTTCTCTCTCTCTTTATTGGGCGATGCGACCGACTCTACGCGGGCGATCGCCTTTCGGAGTCGAGAGATATTTTCGAAATATAGAATACGAAATACATATATATAATGCTCCGCCTTCGAAGTGTGAACGAACGGAGCAGGGATTAACGTGGCGCGCGCGCGCCTTCAACTCCGTTTGCGCGAACAGAATATAAATGTTGTACGAATTTATAATCGAAGCTTAAAATTAGTTTCGATGAGTTCGATTAAAAGCGATCGTTATATAACTATGAAAAATCCTGTCCCCTATGTCAACAGTTCTATTCTCGCGATTTAAACGTGAATCATTTTCGCGCGTCTTTATCATCGGCGTCCCCGTACTCGCGTGAATTGATAGCGATTTAAATCCCCATTCGTGGTCTCGATCCCCGATACGGCGTCGTAATTTATACCGCCTTGCTAGCGATGTCCGTTAATCTATACGCACGAAAATATTCCGCGCGGATTGATGCATATGGGATGATTTATGTCGCCGGATTTCCCAAGATGCAGCAAACGCGAGCGCGGTATTTCGCTCAGCGGGAATCAGGGTGTGGATGAAGGGGAACGCGGCTCTCTTATAACTCGACGTTTCGACTTTCCTGATGCAGGCTCGAGGTCTGTTTACATACGTGCGCGTGTTTGTGATTGTTTCTCGAGCGTCTCTCGACAGGGGAAATGGATTGGTAAATGTAACGCGCTTGAAAGGTGTTATCCGAAGTTATCCGAACGAAGCTATAATAAGAAATCATAATATTTATATGGCGTATTTTTGTCTCTATTTAACTCCTCTATTTAACATTACATTGATTTACATCGTATTTTCTAAAATTATCGAAATGCTCTATAATCTTGTATAATCGTGCTACACTTTCAAAATTAAAGCCTGGTTTTACGGAGATATTAAACGAACTCTCTCTACGAAAATGATCCAGAAGATTGTCATCTTCTCTCAAATTTGTACGTAATATTTTTATACGCAACGCATTCGAAATTTCTGCGCCGATTAAACGCAGAAAGAGAGACTGTGACCTTTTACATTTCCATTTCTCCCTCGAACAATTCCGTTCTCGTCGCGATAATATGAACATTCCTCGAGATAATTTCGTCGTACGACAAAAAACGCGCACGCTTAAATATGCATCGCGACATGGTGAAGATAATTATCGTGTTGCGACGCATAATAAAAATGCATGCATATAAAGTCGGCCTTCGCGCGGATCGCTTCAAAATGGCGGCTGCTGTCAACTTTCGGAGCAGTGCGTTCGACCTAGGCGTACCCCGGTAAAGAGCAGTGAGTCGTGTTCGATAAATTTATCCCCCGACTCGTCAATAAAAGAATGATAAGGACGATTATCACGACGAAAGTATATAAAGAAATTTTGCGCACCAATTATGACGGCATAGAGTAAAATATGCGTATATCGAAGTTGAGGTGGAAATCTGTACACGCGAATAAGAATAATAGTCTTTTTTTTTTTTTTTTTTTTATTCGCGTTTCTGGATTGAAGGAGAGAAAATCCGAGCCCCATAATATCGATACTCTAGAGGAAACATACACTTGTTAGACTTCTCGCAATATCAAATTTCCTTCAGCGCCGCGCTTGAAAAAATTGTAAGATATCTCTAATCTTGTGTATCGTGTTTTTGCATATCGAAGACCTATCTTGGCGTTAAATTCAATAAATTTTTTTTTTGCAAGATTATATTCTACATATATTTGCGATTATTTATCTATATCCGCGAGATTTTTTAATATAAAAATCGCGAGACGGGAGAAGAGATAACGCATTCCGTGAGGGGCTTTCATTCGACTTTTACGGGTTAATTTGCGGAAATTCGACACGGTGATTTTCGAATAACGTCTATTCATGGCATATCCGTTGCCTTTGATCGGTCATTTCTTTCCGCTGCGCGATTTTATTGATATAGAAAGCGGGGCATCCCGCTTCCGAGACGGCAAGAAAACCATCTAGACGAAAGTTCCGTTTATAATCCATAGAATGGTTACGAGCCGCACTCGTTTCGACTCCTTTCCGGAGAAACAAACGCGAGTAATAATTGCATCGTTAAAAAAAAAAACGGATTTTGTCTAATTTTTTTTTCCCATTGTCGTCTGTTTGTACAGATCGATATGCGATATCGGCGTATCCCCGCGAACCGATCGTCGCGAAAATCGATTGTGTTACTCGTGTCGTCGTCGAGAGTTCGGATGCTTTCTCGCGCGAAAGTTGAAATTCTTCCCAAGCGTTCTATTCGACTCGCTTAATTATCGCGATTCATTAGAACGATATTGTGAGCGAAAATCATCGCTAATGATCGGAATAATGGCCAATTGAGAATTTGTTCGCCGGTTCGCTTTTGTATCTTCATTGTCGGCTGCTATATAGTCGTTAGCTTAGGAGCAGCGGATTAACGGGCTTTTCACATTTTCATTGATGACGGACTATGATACGTACTGAATGCTTCTAACTGTGAGCATATATAACTGACGTGACTTGAAAATTATGTTAAAAAGACATAAACAGATTTTTATGTAAAATTATTATAATTTGAAACGCAAAATTTTCTCTTTTATTCATGATATTGCGCAAGCTAAAAAATTCAATTCATATGCAAGGTATCTCTTATTGTTAGAGATATCCCGCTCTTTCTCTTTTACTTGCAAATTTCTCGAACAATCTGCGGTATGGAATATATCCTAATAAAAATCATGACTGCAAGTTTTTTAATTTTTTTTTTATTTAATTATAAATATTCTTTTAATTACCTCGAGTGAGAACTTTGTTAAAGTCTAAAACGCAAACTGCGATATCATTAAAATATTACGAAAACATTTTGCCAAGAAATTAAAATTCCTTCCTCTCGTCAATTTAGCTTCATAAAATATAATACTGCGCCACATGTGTACTAAAGAAAATACATTCTGAATTGTTCGAGGAACAATTGGAAGAATCGTTCTGGGTGTATACGAGGATAAATTATCCGTAGTTAAAACTCCGGTAAAGAAATTCCTGGTGATCTCTAGCCTGGTTATCGACCCTCATGACACATTTGTCTTCCTTCTACATTGTCGCTCTTGTCTACCCCCGCGAGTCGTTACCCCGACATCTGTTGAACATAACGCTTCGAAAGGGAGCGGCGATATAGCCGTTCAAGGCTTCGCTAAACAGAGGAATGCCTTTTATTACCCGTGCGAGCCTGTCTTTCTAACGAACTTTAGAAGAATCTTCAAAGAATACTCGCTTTCTCTTTCTTTCAATAATCTAACTTTATTGACAGTGCTATTGAATTACGTTGAAAGACGATTTTGAAAGAAAACTCAGTAATATATTATCAATATATACTTTTATTTATACCTATTTTAAAAATATCGTCATATCTCGTTGTATCTAATTTCGATATAGAATGTTTTCAGTGCTAAAGTATTTAATAGTTGCCATCATTAATTCCGACTTCAAGTCGTCTTAAAGTCATATATAGTCTATTTATGAATAAATATGAATAGCGCACAACGTTTGCGCTGATATTAAAAGCTATTAATCATTTTAGAATGAGAAGAAAAATAATTATACAAATTTCTTGATTATAAAATCTTTTGAAAAGACAATTAGATATATTTCAAAATTTATTTTTAATATTTTTTGTTTACTCCTTTACAATATGGTTAATATATTAGAATTTATATTTCTGAAAATATAACGAAAAATCTTGTTATTTTTATTTGTAGCAATCTTTCAATTTCTTTTCTTACCGCTGGCAATTGAATGGCAAGTTTTTTTAATTTGTATGGTATGAAGCTTCATTTTGTTTAAGTAAAGAATAAAATTTTATTATCGATTTACAACCTTGAAGCGTCATGTAAATTTTTTAATTTGCAATTATTTATAATTTCGAAACTATGGTTATTCCAATATCGAAAAATCGCTTTTTTGTTTCGTCTTTAGCATTTCTGCTTGAAAATATATTAAGTATCCTCTTCATACGATTTGCTCGTTGACATGTGTATTTAGCATCCCCAAGCATATCATAATTTTTCACGTTAATTATTTATTTCGTTCCCCGACTAGCTGTGTCATAAATATACTATAATAGCATGCTAAGAGACGATAACTGTCTTGCTGTAGCATCGTATCGTGAGATATCGTCTGTCCCCTTTCTCTCTCCACCTCTTCTCCATTATATTTTCCCAATGAATAGCCATTCCGACCGCGAAATGACAGAATTGGGAGAAATGAGGTCACAGGTAATACGGAGGAAGTTCCTATTGAACTTAATCATTACCAAGATAGCTACAAATAACGAATGGAATGATCGAGATCAATTGATCGAGTCGGCCAACTTCGAACATGTTAACATTAACAGACACCGCGAACTCTAACGCAGTCTCTGAACGAAATGACACGCAGACGTGTCATTTTCGAGAAATTTCTTTTCTTGAATTCTATTTGAATTCTTTTCTATTTTCCGTTAACACCTTTGAAGTAGGACACCGATATTATTTTCACGGCCTGGAGATAGCACGAAAACCGTCCTATATCTAGACAGACGCGCTTTATTCCACCTTCAAGTCAGGGACGACTTTTTTATTATCCCAGTTTCCGAATTTAACTTTCCCCGAATAACATATAACCTTGCGCGAACAATATTTCAGATAAACTTGGAAGCCCACTTTTAACACGATATCTAATTAAATGTCGGGAATATAAAATTATCAAAAGATTTATTTTT